TCACTCACCACCACAGTCACTCACCACCACAGTCACTCACTACCACAGTCACTCACTCACCACCACAGTCACTCACTACCACCACAGTCACTCACTACCACCACAGTCACTCACTACCACCACAGTCACTCACTACCACAGTCACTCACCACCACAGTCACTCACTACCACAGTCACTCACCACCACAGTCACTGACCACCACAGTCACTCACCACCACAGTCACTCACTACCACAGTCACTCACTACCACCACAGTCACTCACCACCACAGTCACTCACCACCACAGTCACTCACCACCACCACAGTCACTCACTACCACAGTCACTCACCACCACAGTCACTCACTACCGCAGTCACTCACTACCACAGTCACTCACCACCACAGTCACTCACTACCACCACGGTCACTCACTACCACCACGGTCACTCACTACCACCACGGTCACTCACTACCAGTCACTCACCACCACAGTCACTCACTACCACAGTCACTCACCACCACAGTCACTCACCACCACAGTCACTCACCACCACAGTCACTCACTACCACAGTCACTCACCACCACAGTCACTCACCACCACAGTCACTCACCACCACAGTCACTCACCACCACAGTCACTCACTACCACAGTCACTCACCACCACAGTCACTCACCACCGCAGTCACTCACCACCGCAGTCACTCACCACCGCAGTCACTCACCACCGCAGTCACTCACCACCGCAGTCACTCACCACCGCAGTCACTCACCACCGCAGTCACTCACCACCGCAGTCACTCACCACCGCAGTCACTCACCACCGCAGTCACTCACCACCGCAGTCACTCACCACCGCAGTCACTCACCACCGCAGTCACTCACTACCACCACAGTCACTCACTACCACCACAGTCACTCACCACCACAGTCACTCACTACCACAGTCACTCACCACCACATTCACTCACTACCACAGTCACTCACTACCACCACAGTCACTCACTACCACCACAGTCACCACTACCACAGTCACTCACTACCACAGTCACTCACTACCACAGTCACTCACTCACCACCACAGTCACTCACCACCACAGCCACTCACCACCACAGTCACTCACCGCCACCACAGCCACTCGCTCACCACCACAGTCACTCACCACCACAGTCACTCACTACCACAGTCACTCACTACCACCACAGTCACTCACTACCACAGTCACTCACTACCACAGTCACTCACCACCACAGTCACTCACCACCACAGTTACTCACTACCACAGTCACTCACCACCACAGTCACTCACCACCACAGTCACTCACCACCACACTCACTACCACCACAGTCACTCACTACCACCACAGTCACTCACTACCACAGTCACTCACTACCACCACGGTCACTCACCACCACAGTCACTCACTACCACAGTCACTCACTACCACACTCACTCACCACCACAGTCACTCACTACCATGGTCACTCACTACCACACTCACTCACCACCACAGTCACTCACCACCACAGCCACTCACCGCCACCACAGTCACTCACTACCACGGTCACTCACCACCACAGTCACTCACTACCACAGTTACTCACTACCACCACAGTCACTCACTACCACCACAGTCACCACTACCACAGTCACTCACTACCACAGTCACTCACCACCACAGTCACTCACTACCACAGTCACTCACTACCACAGTCACTCACCACACAGTTACTCACTACCACAGTCACTCACCACCACAGTTACTCACTACCACAGTCACTCACTACCACAGTCACTCACTACCACAGTCACTCACCCCCACAGTTACTCACTACCACAGTCACTCACTACCACAGTCACCACCACCACAGTCACTCACTACCACCACAGTCACTCACTACCACAGTCACTCACCACCACAGTTACTCACCACCACAGTCACTCACTACCACCACAGTCACTCACCACCACAGTCACTCACCACCACAGTCACTCACTACCACAGTCACTCACTCACCACCACAGTCACTCACTACCACCACAGTCACTCACTACCACCACAGTCACTCACTACCACCACAGTCACTCACTACCACAGTCACTCACCACCACAGTCACTCACTACCACAGTCACTCACCACCACAGTCACTGACCACCACAGTCACTCACCACCACAGTCACTCACTACCACAGTCACTCACTACCACCACAGTCACTCACCACCACAGTCACTCACCACCACAGTCACTCACCACCACCACAGTCACTCACTACCACAGTCACTCACCACCACAGTCACTCACTACCGCAGTCACTCACTACCACAGTCACTCACCACCACAGTCCCTCACTACCACCACGGTCCCTCACTACCACCACGGTCACCTCACTACCACCACGGTCACTCACTACCAGGTCACTCACTACCACAGTCACTCACCACCACAGTCACTCCCACCACAGTCACTCACCACCACAGTCACTCACTACCACAGTCACTCACCACCACAGTCACTCACCACCACAGTCACTCACCACCACAGTCACTCACCACCACAGTCATCACTACCACAGTCACTCACCACACAGTCACTCACCACCGCAGTCACTCACCACCGCAGTCACTCACCACCGCAGTCACTCACCACCGCAGTCACTCACCACCGCAGTCACTCACCACCGCAGTCACTCACCACCGCAGTCACTCACCACCGCAGTCACTCACCACCGCAGTCACTCACCACCGCAGTCACTCACCACCGCAGTCACTCACCACCGCAGTCACCGGTCACCCACCGCAGTCACTCACCACCGCAGTCACTCACCACCGCAGTCACTCACCACCGCAGTCACTCACCACCGCAGTCACTCACCACCGCAGTCACTCACCACGGCACTCACCACCGCAGTCACTCACCACCGCAGTCACTCACCACCGCAGTCACTCACCACCGCAGTCCACATCACCACACGCAGTCACTCACCACCGCAGTCACTCACTACCGCAGTCACTCACCACACAGTCACTCACCACCACAGTCACTCACTACCGCAGTCACTCTCACCACCACAGTCACTCACCACACAAGTCACTCACCACCACAGTCACTCACTACCGCAGTCAACTCACTACCACAGTCACTCACCACCACAGTCACTCACCACCACAGTCACTCACTACCACCACAGTCACTCAATACCACCACAGTCACTCACTACCACCACAGTCACTCACCACCACAGGTCACTCACTACACAGTCAATCACCACCACATTCACTCCTACCACAGTCACTCACTACACCACAGTCCCTCACTACCACCACAGTCACCACTACCACAGTCACTCACTACCACAGTCACTCACTACCACAGTCACTCACTCACCACCACAGTCACTCACCACCACAGCCACTCACCACCACAGTCACTCACCGCCACCACAGCCACTCGCTCACCACCACAGTCACTCACCACCACAGTCACTCACTACCACAGTCACTCACTACCACCACAGTCACTCACTACCACAGTCACTCACTACCACAGTCACTCACCACCACAGTCACTCACCACCACAGTTACTCACTACCACAGTCACTCACCACCACAGTCACTCACCACCACAGTCACTCACCACCACACTCACTACCACCACAGTCACTCACTACCACCACAGTCACTCACTACCACCACAGTCACTCACCACCACAGTCACTCACCACCACAGTCACTCACTACCACAGTCACTCACTACCACCACAGTCACTCACTACCACCACAGTCACTCACCACCACAGTCACTCACCACCACAGCCACTCACCACCACAGTCACTCACCACCACCACAGTCACTCACCACCACCACAGTCACTCACCACCACAGTCACTCACTACCACCACAGTCACTCACTACCACCACAGTCACTCACTACCACCACAGTCACTCACTACCACCACAGTCACTCACTACCACCACAGTCACTCACTACCACCACAGTCACTCACTACCACCACAGTCACTCACCACCACAGTCACTCACCACCACAGTCACTCACCACCACAGTCACTCACCACCACAGTCACTCACTACCACAGTCACTCACTACCACCACAGTCACTCACCACCACCACAGTCACTCACTACCACCACAGTCACTCACTACCACCACAGTCACTCACTACCACCACAGTCACTCACTACCACAGTCACTCACCACCACAGTCACTCACCACCACAGTCACTCACCACCACCACAGTCACTCACCGCCACCACAGCCACTCGCCACCACCACAGTCACTCGCCACCACCACAGTCACTCACTACCACAGTCACTCACCACCACCACAGTCACTCACTACCACCACAGTCACTCACTACCACCACAGTCACTCACTACCACCACAGTCACTCACTACCACAGTCACTCACTACCACAGTCACTCACCACCACAGTCACTCACCACCACCACAGTCACTCACCACCACCACAGTCACTCACTACCACAGTCACTCACCACCACCACAGTCACTCACCACCACCACAGTCACTCACCACAACAGTCACTCACCAGAACCACCAGTCACTCACTACCACAGTCACTCACTACCACAGTCACTCACTACCACCACGGTCACTCACCACCACGGTCACTCACTACCATGGTCACTCACTACCACAGCCACTCACCACCAGTCACTCACCGCCACCACAGCCACTCGCTCACCACCACGGTCACTCACTACCATGGTCACTCACTACCACAGCCACTCACCACCACAGTCACTCACCGCCACCACAGCCACTCGCTCACCACCACAGTCACTCACCACCACAGTCACTCACCACCACAGGCACTCACCACCACCACAGCCACTCACTCACCACAGGCACAGCCGAACGTCGCCCGGCGAAGCGACCGAGGGGGCAAGGTCGTGGCCGCGGGTAGAGTGCACGCCGCCTGCAGCGGATAGTGTGCACGCCGGCCCTACCGCCGTTGGGGCCAGCGTGCAGGCGGCGTGCCACCGTCGGAGAACCCGCAACAAGTAATGGAAGTCGTCAGCGGATGCGATGGACTACCACAAGCATCTGTGTGTGTGTCTGTGTGTGTGTCTGTGTGTGTGTCTGTGTGTGTGTCTTTGTGTGTGTGTCTGTGTGTGTCTGTGTGTGTGTGTGTCTCTGTGTGCGTGTCTCTGTGTGTGTGTCTGTGTGTGCGTGTGTCTGTGTGTGCGTCTGTGTGTGTGTGTCTGTGTGTGTGTGTGTCTGCAGGTGGGTAGCGAGCTGTATAGCGACATCACGGGCGGACGGTCCTCCACCCTCACCACCCAGGAGACGCTGTCCTGCACGGACAGCTACTACAGTGAGACAGCGCACGGCACGCACGCAGGCACACATGCAGACAGACACACACACGCAGACACACACGCACGCAGACACGCAGACACGCACTCAGACAAGCACGCACGCAGACACGCACTCGTACGCACGCACGCAGACACGCAGGCAGACACGCAGGCAGACACACACACAGACACACACACGCAGACACACACACACGCAGACACGCACTCAGACAAGCGCGCACGCAGACACGCACTCGTACGCACGCACGCAGACACGCACTCACGCACGCAGACACGCAGGCAGACACGCAGGCAGACACGCAGGCAGACACGCAGGCAGACACGCACGCAGACACGCACGCAGACACGCACGCAGACACGCACGCAGACACACACGCAGACACGTGCGCGCACACGCACACACGCACAGACACGCAGACACGCACTCAGACACACACGCAGACACACACTCGCACGCAGATGCACATACTCGTGCACGCAGACACGCACGCAGACACGCACCTTTGTCTCTGTGCCTGTGGTGCGTCACAGGCACGGCGGAGAGCTGGGCCGAGCAGCACCTGTACGAGGAGGCGACCGACACCTCCGCCCCCTCCGACACGGCGGCCCGGCCGCTCTACCAGCGAGCGCCGCGCCGTGCCGAGCTCCTCCCGGTGAGACACGCTCGGTGCGGTCGCGGTCCCGGCGTGGACACCCTCCCACCCCCCACACGCTCGCGGTGCGGACGGAGCGTGGCCTCCTTGTGTCCTTGAGTCTCCCGTGTGTCCTCCAGTGTCCCTCGGGTGTCCCTCCTGTCTCCCGTGTCCTCGTGTGTCTCCTGTCTTCCGTGTCTTCGTGTGTCTCCCGCGTGTCTCCGCGTCTGACGTGTCCCTCCGTGTCACACCCTCCTGCGCGTGTCTCAAGGTGGAGCCCATTGAGGAGGAGCCGTTGGACTTTGACGACGATGAGGAGATGGAGGATGTTGGAGTCTCCAGGAATAGGACGCTGCCCTTTGAGATGCGTGGAGACCTCGTGTAGCCCCCCCCCCCACCCACTACCATCCCCCCCCCACTACCCTCCCCCCCACTACCCCACCCCCACACCCCCCACTACCCTCCCCCCCCACTACCCCACCCCCACCACCCCCACCCCTCTCGCCCCCCACTACCCTCCCACCCCACCCCCCCACCACCCCTCCCCCCACTACCATCCCCCCCACCCCCGCACCCACTACCCACACCCCCCACTACCCACACCCCCACCCACACCCCCCCACTATCCCACCCACACCTCCCCCCCACACCCCCCCACTATCCCACCCACACCTCCCCCACTACCCCACCCACACCCCCATCCACTACCCCCACCCACTACCCCACCCACACCTCCCCCCACTACCCCATCCACACCTCCCCCCACTACCCCACCCACACCCCCATCCACTACCCCCACCCACTACCCCACCCACACCTCCCCCCACTACCCCATCCACACCTCCCCCCACTACCCCACCCACACCCCCCCACCACCCCTCCCCCCACTACCCACACCCCCCACCCCCCCACCCACTACCCACACCCCCCACTACCCACACCCCCACCCACACCCCCCCACTATCCCACCCACACCTCCCCCCACTACCCCACCCACACCCCCATCCACTACCCCCACCCACTACCCCACCCACACCTCCCCCCACTACCCCATCCACACCTCCCCCCACTACCCCACCCACACCCCCACCCACACCCCCACCCACTACCCCACCCACACCCCCCCTACCCCACCCACTCCCCCCCCCACTACCCCACCCAGACCCCAACACACACACCCCCGCCGCGAATCTCAGAACGTGGAGATACCCTCTGACTGACTCACGGCAACAATAATATCGCCCACGGCTTTTATTTCATTGTCATTTCTTTGTTTGCAACAAAAAATAAAGTCGGTAGTGGTCGCTGCTGCTGCTACAGCTGCTGCAGCTGCTGCTGCAGCTGCTGCAGTTGCTGCAGCTGCTGCAGTTGCTGCAGTTGCTGCTGCAGCTGCTGCAGTTGCTGCTGCAGCTGCTGCAGTTGCTGCTGCAGCTGCTGCAGTTGCTGCTGCAGCTGCTGCAGCTGCTGCAGTTGCTGCTGCAGCTGCTGCAGTTGCTGCTGCAGCTGCTGCAGTTGCTGCTGCAGCTGCTGCAGTTGCTGCAGTTGCTGCTGCAGTTGCTGCTGCAGCTGCTGCAGTTGCTGCTGCAGCTGCTGCAGTTGCTGCTGCAGCTGCTGCAGTTGCTGCTGCAGTTGCTGCTGCAGCTGCTGCAGTTGCTGCTGCAGCTGCTGCAGCTGCTGCAGTTGCTGCTGCAGCTGCTGCAGCTGCTGCAGTTGCTGCAGTTGCTGCAGTTGCTGCTGCAGCTGCTGCAGTTGCTGCAGTTGCTGCTGCAGCTGCTGCACCACCCAACGTCTGCACGTGCGGCCTGCTCACATTCCCAGAGTTTCACCCTTTCCCCCTTCCGATGACGTAGGTGCGTGTAAGTGAGTCTGCTAGAGGCTACGCCAGAGGTCGCAAACGGGTTTTTACTCCTTACCCGTACCCGTACCCGGCCGCACCAGGGTCGCAAACGGGTACCCGTACCCTACCCGATACCCAGCCGGGTATGGTACGGGTATCGGGTACCCGATTGCGACCTCTGGGATGAAGCCGTGTTGCAGGCGCGGGTGGGTTGATTCTAGGAACTTGAATTGTGAGAAGAGACAAGACGTTGGGAAATGAGTGACAAACGGTGACTCACCAGTGACTCACGGCCTACCTGTACCCGGCCGGGTACGGGTAGCCGGGTATCGGGTAGGGTACGGGTATCGGGTAGGGTACGGGTATCGGGTACCCGGTTGCGACCTCTGGTCTACGCTGGGGGGGGGGGGTTGAGGGCCTTTGGCCTACTCCTCCCGTCGTCGCGTGCGGGCATCAGCCCCCTCTCGTCGCCGCGTCACGGAGGTGCTCCAGCAGCCTGTCCAGCCCAGACACCTCCTTCTGCAGAGCCTCCATCTGCAAGGCCATCAACCACGTGGTCAGCTCCGACACCAACACCACCACCCAGCCCGGATCCACCACCACCACCACCCAGCCCAGATCCATCGCCGCTCGCTCGGTGGCCGATGGGTGCGGTGGAGTGTGTAGTGTAGTATATAGTGTAGTGTGTAATGTAATGTAGTGTATAGTGGTGTATAGCGTAGTATATAATATAGTGGCGTGTATAGTGTAGTGTATAATGTGGTGTGTAGCGTAGTATATAATGTAGTGTATAATGTAGTGTATAGTGTAGTGTATAGTGTAGTGTATAATGTATATAGTGTAGTATGTAGTGTATAATGTAGTGTGTAGTGTATAATGTAGTATATAGTGTAGTATATAATGTAGTGTATAGTGTAGTGTATAATGTATATAATGTAGTGTATAATGTAGTGTATAATGTATATAATGTAGTGTATAATGTTGTGTATAATGTTGTGTATAATGTAGTGTATAGTGTATAGTGTAGTATATAGTGTATAGTGTAGTATATAGTGTATAGTGTAGTGTATAGTGTAGTGTATAATGTAGTGTAGTGTAGTATATAATGTAGTGTATAATGTAGTGTAGTATATAATGTAGTATATAGTGTAGTGTAGCGTGTAGCGTAGGGCGACCTGCGCGCGGTGCTCTTGCCGCGTGCTCTCCGGCGTGGCGCGCCGGTACCCCTCGTCGCTGTCCCGCCTGCGTGCGGCACCCAGCCGGAACAACGCCCGCTCCCTGGCAGCGCCCAGACGGCGCAGCTCCCGCTCGCAGTCCACTACGCCCTGGCCAGCAACAACAATCAACAACAATCAACAACAACAATCAACAACAATCGACAACACCATCACGGCTGCCCCCGTGATTCTATCCCCTCCCCGAATGCGTCTTCCGCTTGATGTCCGATTAGTGCGGTTGGCTAGGCACGGGGCGAAATAAGTTAAATATTGGTACACTACACTATACACTACTATATACTACACTATACAATACACTATACACTACACTATACACTAGACTACTATACACTACTATACACACTACACTACTATACACTACACTATACACACTACACTACTATACACTACACTACTATACACTACATGATACACTATACTATATACTACACTACTACACACTACACTATACACTACACACTACACTATACACTACACTACACACCTCAGAGGTGGGACAAAGTCATTGTTATGCAAGTCCAAGTCGAGTCTGAAGTCATCAAATTCATGACTCGAGTCCACACCTCTGCTACACACTACACTACACACCATACTATACTATACACTACTATACACTACATTACACACTACACTATACACTACACTACACTATACACTACACTACTATACACTATACACTACACTATACACTACACTACTATACACTATACACTACACTATACACTACACTACTATACACACTACACTACTATACACTACACTACTACACACTACACTACTATACACTACAATACGCACTACACTATACACTACACTATACATTACACTATTTTATTAAATTGAAAACGAATTTCCTTACAACTGCTTCTTGTTGTTGTTGCGTGTTTAGTCTGTTGTCCCCCCCCGCTCACCTCCGATTAGCTACGTTTGGCAACCTAAAGTTGCCAAATAAGTTCAACGCACATGCACACACACATATACACACACGCACACGCATGCATGCACGTACACGCAAGCACGTACACATACACACATGTATGCACACACACACATATACACACGCACACACATGCATGCACGTACACGCAAGCACGAACACACGCGCGTACACACGTATACACACACACACGCATATACAAACACGTATACACACACGTGCACACGCACACACACACGCACACTTACACGTGCACACGCACGCATAAACATACGCACACGTGCACACACGCGCGTACACACACACCTATCTCCCTGTGCATCCACCCCCTGCCCCCCCCAGCATGCATCTCTCCCCCCGCCCCCCCCACCTTGTCCACCACGTGACCCCCTCTGCCCCCCCCCTGCCTCCTGCCCACCCCCCACCACGTGACCCAGCCGCCCACCTGCAGTGGCAGGTAGACAGCCGCGACCCCCCCTGCCCCCCCCAGCATGCATCTCTCCCCCCCCCCAGCATGCATCTCTCCCCCCGCCCCCCCCCACCTTGCCCACCACGTGACCCTCCCTGCCCCCCCCCACCACGTGACCCTCCGGCCCACCTGCAGCGGCAGGTAGACGGTGGCGACCCCGCCGGGCGCCACGGCGCCGGCGCAGCGTCCCGCCGGGGGGGAGGCGGCCGCCAGCGGGCGCAGCTCCCGGCAGCGGCAGAGGGCGCAGAGCGGCGCGGCGAGGGCGGAGAGCACGCGGGAGGCACGCTCGCTCCCTGCCTCCACCAGCACTGTGACACGCACACACACAGTGACACGCACACACTGTGACACGCAGTGACACACACAGTGACACACACACACTGTGACACACAGTGACACACACACAGTGACACAAGGCACGCTCACTCCCTGCCTCCACCAGCACTGTGACACGCAGTGACACACACAGTGACACGCACACGCAGTGACACACAGTGACACGCACACGCAGTGACACACACAGTGACACGCACACGCAGTGACACACACACACAGTGACACACACACAGTGATACACACACAGTGATACAAAGATCCCCCTTATAGCCTTAACAGACTGTAGGGGCAAGTGCTGTTAGCGAGCACCTATGAAGGCCAGCACGGCACACGAGGGGGTGGGTGGCCAGCACCACGCCCGACCGCCTTTGTCTCCCTAGCGGCGATGTTTACCCATCGCACTAGGTACTCATTTTAGGCTGAGTCGACCTAGGGGAGGCCCGGGACCGGTTCAGATAATCGTCACTGGTGTTGGCCGTGAGCGGGAATCGAACTCGGGTCGCCGGGTTCATAGCGCAGCGCGCTAACCGCTGCACTATCGCTCCCCACACACACAGTGATACACACACAGTGACACAAGGCACGCTCACTCCCTGCCTCCACCAGCACTGTGACACGCAGTGACATGCAGTGACACACACAGTGATACAGTGACACACACAGTGACACACACAGTGACACACACACACAGTGACACACACATGCAGTGACACACACACAGTGACACACACACGCAGTGACACACACACACAGTGACACACACACAGTGACACAGACACGCAGTGACACACACACAGTGACACAAAGTGACACACAGTGACACAAGGCACGCTCACTCCCTGCCTCCACCAGCACTGTGACACGCACAGTGACACACACACAGTGACACACACACGCAGTGACACACACAGTGACACACACAGTGACACAGTGATACACACACACGCAGTGACAAGACAAAGATCCCCCGTATAGCCTTAACAGACTGTAGGGGCAAGTGCTGTTAGCGAGCACCTATGAAGGCCGGAACGGTACACGAGGGGGTGGGTGGCCAGCACCACGCCCGACCGCCTTTGTCTCCCCAGTGGCGATGTTTACACACCACACCAGGTACTCATTTCAGGCTGAGTCGACCTAGGGGAGGCCCAGGACCGGTTCAGATAATCGTCACTGGTGTTGGCCGTGAGCGGGAATCGAACCCGGGTCGCTAGGTTCATAGCGCAGCACGCTAACCGCTACACTATCGCTCCCCACAAGTGACACACACACAGTGACACACGCAGTGACACACACAGTGACACACACAGTGACACACAGTGATACACACACACGCAGTGACACACACAGTGACACAAGGCCCGCTCACTCCCTGCCTCCACCATCACTGTGACCAAACAACAACAACCGCAATTCGCCACTAAGTGGCGGTGACGTCACCACGACGCTTGTGCCAGGCCAAGTGCACCTTGAGGCCACGTGAAGTGTCGAACGCCCGCTGGCAGGAGGTCACGGGGCAGACCCAGGTGCCACGGGTCGACTGAGATGACTGGCTGATGCACCACCTGTGCCCCCTACTGTGCCAACTTGCTGTGCTTTAGCCACCCGGCGCTCCGCTCGTTGTTGTGAGCGTCGCTCCTCCGCCCTCCGTTGTTGTTGGAGGGCGACTG